GACACATCCTACAGCTATTACATAATCTAAACAATTGCCTGTAGTTTCATTATCCAAACACAGCTATCCCATGACCTACATAGAAGGACAAACTTTCCCTCTTTCTACAACTCATGGGTAGAATGAAATAAAAATGCCATTTGACAGTTTGTTAATCATATGATTATCCATCGAATATGGATTTTGTGAGCATCAAGATTAGATTGTAATCATTTGACAAACACAACTTTGCTGCAGTATCAAACGCCGCTCTCATTCAAACAAAACTTCCATAAAAACTCAATCGTATATACACTAGGAACTAAATGAAGCAAACCTGCAATTTCTGCAATAAATTGATCAACAACACAAGTGTAGGAACCACAAGATCAACTAAACTTTGCTCACGATTTCGTTCCAACAGTAAATCTGATGTAGAATTGCATTCTGTGCCCTCATCAACAAGGTAATCTGTTCAAGACAAAACAAAAAAGCAATTTTTCCAAAATTCAGAAATAAAATGGGCCTTCTAAAATATCAGAATATTGTACAACATGAAATTCCTAAAACTGTACACAGTGGTAGTGAGAAACGAGTGTGCACGATAGCATGCCACCTACTAGGTACAATGGCAAAGAGGTTTAAACTTTATGATCTATGGAAGATATACTATACTGAGAACAAGCAGACCTGGTAAAGTATACTAAAAATTCCAGTCTAAATTCACTACACAGGTTTTGTTCTCTCTACAGTAGAAGGCCCGGGAATGTTCTAAAAGTTGCTATCTCTAGTGATGTAACCTTTTTATGGGAATTACTGTTGAATTTTTTTGGTTTTATAGTTTATACATACAAATCAATCTATGAAAGCAACTATTTCCAAATCACGTACCATAGCTGTTCGAGGACCTCTCAAGCATGAACCTACAATTGACCAGAACTGCATAGATTATTGCTATAACACCTTCATCATATAGGGTAGCAGCAACAGTCTACATCAAGAAAACAACAATGAGCAAGATAAAAGTGCATTCTAATGATAAATTAAAACAATACAAAACTACATACTGAGTTCTCTGAAATGAATGCTAAAATGCGAAATGCTGTTGTCAACTGTGCTACTGAAGAGTCACGAAGAATCACACCATCAAAACTCTTGTCAGAAATAAACTTTCCAAGATTTTCCATAACATTAGCATCAGAACCACCGGAAGAATCTCCAATAACATTCTCTACATCTGCCAAATCTGACACTAGTGGGATGGTTGAAGTCAAGTGGGCGTCTCCTCCGGAAGCTAATACAGCAGCATACCGTATAAGACCTGTAGCCCCATTTTTATGATATATTACACCAGCATCTATCCATTCCAACAGCCGTGTGGGGGCATCTTTCCTATTTGACCCTGGAGAAGAGGAATGTAAAGCCCTATGGAGCTCCATAACATGTCCAATCCAAGATCCAAGAGAAGATGCAGTTGAATCAGAAACAATAACTTCAAAAATCTCAGCAGCTGAATGAAATATTGCAATATTTAGCGGCGAGGCTCCTGAAATGCAGAATTTTATTTGAGTAAATGCATAACTAAAAGGTATAATTGTAAAATTTCAGATTTAGACAAAGGACAAGTGCACAACCACTAGTTTTAGCAACTGGCTCTTGTTCCTTGGCAGAATGTAATGCTTCAATCAAAATTTTAACAGCCTACAAAATAGTTAATCATTTGTCAATAAGCTGAAGCATGTATCCATAAAATATAATCTAACAATAAGAATATCAAGG